ATTTAAAAATTAGAAAAAGTAAAATGTGTATGTATCTAGCAAAAGAGCTTCAAATATTTGAGCAAAACCTGATAAAAATAAGGAGAAATAGACAAATCCACAGTTACTGTTGAACACTTCAACACTCCTCACCCAGCAACCAGTAGAACAATTATACAGAAGATCAGGAAGGACACAAAAGACCAGAATACACTATCAACAATTTGATCTAATTTCCATTTATAGAACACTTCACCCAACAACAGGGGAATACATCCTTTTCAAGTGCATATGGAACATACACCGAGAGAGCATATTATGGAGCACAAAACAAACCTTGAGAAATTTAACAGAATAGAAAGAATGCAATGATCCCAACAGAATCAAACTAAAATTCCATAACAAAGATACCTAGAAAATCTCCAAATACTCAGAAATGACAGAAAATACTTCTATACAATTGATGGGTGAAAAAGGAACTCTCAAGGGAAATTTTAAAAAATATTCTGAACTGAGTGAATGAAAATAGAGATATAACATGTCATAGCTGTGGGATGCCATTGAAGCATCACTTAGAGGGAAATTCATAGCAGTTAATGCTTATCCTAGAAATAGGTAAGATCTAAAATCAGTAATCCCAACTTCCACTTTATGAAACTAGGAAAAGAAGATCAAATTAAACCCAAAGGAAGCATAAGAAAGAAATGATAAAAAAAAAAATAAGCCCAGAAATCAATGAAATTAACAGAAAAGCATGAGAAAATCAATTAAACCAAAGCTAGTTCATTGACAAGATCAATAAAATTGACAAACCTCTGGCCAGATTGACCAACACAGAAAGAGAGAAGACACAAATGACCAATATCAGTCATGAACAAGGGAGTCTCACCACAGGACCTACAGGCATGAAAAAGAAAATAAAGGAATACCGTAAAAGACTCTATGCCTTTAATTCTGCAACTTAGATAAAATGGACCTTAAATAGTCCTATATTCATTAAAGAACTGAGTATACGGTTAGTGCCAGAAGGAATTTATTAGAAAGGATTACACTACAGAGGTGGCTACCGCAAGTCTTTTTGCTATTCCTCTCTTACTCAAGAACTGACATTTTGCTAACTAGCGGGTTGTACATCAAATCTTTTTTATTGGTGAAAGTAATGCCATACTGTTATGATGAATGCTAGAAATGGGATTTTATTTGTAAAATTAAGAGTATTCAATATAGGAGAGACTTGCATGGTCTCTCTCTCTCTCAAATAAAAAGCATTCAGGGGCACCTGGGTGGCTCAGTTGGTTGGGTGGCTCAGTTGGTTGGGTGGCTGCCTACGGCTCAGGTCATGACCTCAGGAGTCCTGGGATCTAGCCCTGCGTCAGGCCGTCTGCTTCTCCCTCTCCCTCTGCCCCTCTCCCTGCTTGTGCTCTGTCTCTCTCCCTTAAATAAATAAAAAAATAAAATAAAATGTGTTCAATATATATGGATTAGTTAAAATAGAAGACACCCCCTATCTTCACATGAACAGGGTGTAAGAATACTCCAAGGGTTTTACCCTATACTCCATAGAATAACACTAGTGACTTGATCCCCAAAGGGTCCTGTGCTCTGCTGTTAGTTTAGGAGGATTTCTGACTGTATGAAGCTAATGAGAAAACTATGTACTGTCTCTTCCATAAGGATGTGCTCAGAGCACTTAAAACAACAGAGATCTGGGACTTAAGCTTATAGAAGAGGTTTTATGATGAGCTGTACTTACTTTGCTAATGAAAAATGTCTGTATGAGGCAGAATTCTATTTTGTTTTATTATTTTTAAATTCCTGGTGGTGGGTATGAAAGAGGGCACGTACTGCATGGAGCACTGGGTGTTATACGCAAACAATGAATCATGGAACACTACATCAAAAACTAATGATGTA